TTGTTCGTGCAGGTTTTCATTGGAGAGCTCGGTGAATACTTGGATCCACGTCTTAAGACCAGGCTTCTTCCGTTCAGGTACCTGATCGCTGAGCCGACGTCGACCCCAGGCCCGTCGAAAACGAAGCCAGGCAAGCGGAGAACGCCTCCTCCAGTTGTAGTCTCCCCGCATACGTGTGTCGAGTCCTCGGCAGTTCTGGAGAAAGGTTCGGGTACGAAGCCTGAAGCTCCGAAAAAGAAAGTACTTGCGGAGAAAGCTGCGGCGTCTTCGAAAAGGAAAGGCAAAGCTCTGCAAGACGAGCTGGGTACGAAGCCAAAAACTCCGAAAAAGAAAGTACCTGCGCCGAAAGCTGCGGCGTCTTCGAAAGGGAAAGGCAAAACTCCGCAAGACGAGCTTCAAGTTCCTCGAGGTCTTGTTCCCGGYGAACTCAAYGASGAGCTGACACGGGCCTGGAACGAGCTGGAGAGTTTAAAGGAGAAGAAAATTTCCCAAGAGCCTTTTTACCTGCGCATGTCGTGTCTGCGACGACCGCCGGACGATGGAGCAAGAAACAGGCCACTCGAGATTCGGGAGCCCGAAGAGGACCACGTTTCCACAATCATGGATTCGATGATTACTTGCCCGACTGGGGATCATCTTCCCTTCGTTGGTGTCGTGGATCCGTCGGAGGTGAAAGATAAGAAGGACGTGGATCTGGCCCGGTTGCGCAAAGGTGGTTACACCATCTATGTTCTTGGAGGTGGACATTGCCGGGAGGCGAGGGAGCGCCTGCAGAAGATCTACCCTGACAAGGAGGATTGCAAATGGACTGTGTGCTATGTCTATGCGGGCCTGACTACGGAAGAAGCGAGGCAGGTGGGTCACAAACACAATTTGGCAGCTGGCCACCACAGAGATTTGAACTTCATCGAGAAGATGAAATGTTGGCGTAACATCTTCGAGAGAATGGGGTCTGTGAAGAACGTTGAGGTGAAGTTGGCCTGCCTGCGGGAGTTCAACATACCTTGTTCTACCAAGAAGCTGCAGAATAATGACCCTTGTTGCAGATCGCGATGCGTCCCAAAGAGATCTGGGACCTGCAACTGCGAATTTTTGAGATGTGGCAGAAGGGGGAGGTCAAGAACCAGAAACTCAAGCCTCTTGCGAAAAGTCAGATACGCACACACGTCGCTCCAGAGTCCAGCGAGTCGGAGGGTGGCAAGAAACAACGCGGGGCGAGAAAGCTGGACAGGGCTGTTGCAAAGCAGCAAGAGATAACGTTCTTCAATCCTCGCCTAAAATTGAAGGACAACAAAGTTGCTTCGGCCTCGGCTGACATGCCTGCGCATCCGTGGATTACGATGGGCAATATCCTGCACGACGCTATCATCCCCATCTTGACGGAAGTTGTGTCCAAGCAGATCTCCCTGGAAGAGATGAAGAGGAAGTTCAAGGTCGTGAAGAAGTTTGGCTACGTTGCAAAGGCCTTCTGCGAAGGTGTCAAATGCAAAGACTTCAAAACCGCAGAGGAGTTGTATCCTTTGCATACCAAGAAGGAGGTTCTCGAGCCATTCATTGGGAGTTTTGAGAGGCGAGGGGCTAAACCCACTGCTTTGCTAAATCACATTGAACGAGCGAAGGAGTGGAGGAAGATGGAGGACAAGAGAATTAAAGATGTACAAAGAGCGAGTCACGATTTCTTCCGAGCGCATTCCCTGGACGACCCTTTCGCGGACTGGACTGACGTGAAGTACGAAGGGTGCTCGGGGCAGGTCAAGGTCATTCAAGGCATTATGTTGCATTTGGCACAGCTGCAAAAGGACAAGGTGCTGATTTCCCTTTCCATCTTCGATTTGCCCTACAACTTTGCGCACAAAGGACACGCGCGTGACACGGAGCCATTCCCGGAGAGTGACATTGTCGCTGTGCTCCATAATGTCAAGGAGGTTTCGAGCGCATCACTCTGGATAGTCGCTGCTTTCTGCTCTGTGGACATGCTATCCTCAATGAGGTCCGCGTTTGCGAAGATCTGCAATGCTGGTCAAGAGCTTGTCACGTGGTGCAAGCCGAACACGATGAATCCCGGTGGCCCGAGACTTGTCAGCTCGACGAAGTTCTGCGTTCTGGGGTACTACAATGTGATAGGCCAACGTGAGATGACGCATTACAACTTCGCTCCCACCGATCCCCGCCACAACTTTCAACTTTTTGATGCGGTCACGCGAAAGTTTGTGCACCCGGCTGATGACAAGGTGCTTTGTCCGTACCAGAAACCTTATGCATTATATTCCTGGTTGGTCACAAAGTTCTCTCCACCACGTGCCACCGTTTTGGACGGCTTTTCGGGCTCGGGTACGGGGGCCATTGCTTGCGTGATGGCGAACAGGAACTGTCTTGTTGTGGAGCTGGACATGCGGTGTGCGAAGGGAATCCACATGAGGCTGCTCACTGACCTTGAGACCGGGGATTGCTGCTGTTGTCGTCGTCGCTTGTTTCTGTAATAGAACTGTCTTTGAGACCGGGAACGCTTGTACTCCTGTTTTGATGGCGAAGCTTGTACTCCTGTTTTGATGACGAACTTTTTTTTTTTTTTTTTTTTTTTGAGGCGGCTGTTGTGTCATTTTCCTTTTGCATTTCAAGGACATAAGTCTTGAGTGAGGTTTTGTCATTTGTCCCGAGTTCTATTCTGACTGAACAATTTGTTTTCCATTTTCTCTTGGGGAATTGGTTGAGCACACAGGGGCGTGGCTGGCTCCGCTGCGTCGTTTCCTGCCCGCTTTTTCGGGTGTCAAAATAGTTCGTTTGATACATTTGTGGTTCTGCTYGGTGTGACAGCTGAATGATTGTGGTCCTTTGCTCTSTGSGAAGCGTGCTGCCAGGTCTTTGCTTCTGCTCACTATCGCTATTGGAATCATGCCCTGACAGTGGCGAGCGTCTCAGTTGTTTTAGTCMTGTAATCGTTCTCGTTGTTYGAGCTAYAGCATSTGAATGATTGTAGTYCTGTAATCACTGAGGCGGGTYGTGCCACARACTGGTTTTGCTCAGTATCGCTGTTGGAGTCGTGGCCTGACAACGGCGACCKCCTCAATTGTTGGAGTCCTTTACTCGTTCTCGTTGTTCRCCYYACAACCTGTGRATGRTTGTACTCGTCTGATTATTCCCATTGCTTGAGCTACAGCCTCTGAATGATTTTAGTCMTGTGTTAATCACTTTGGCGGGTGGTGTCACAGTCTTGTTTCTGGTCCGTCCTCGAAATGGTTTGTTTGCAGCAGTCTGAAATCGCTACCAAACGCATTGTTGCTCTCAAACTAGTCCCTTGAATGTTGAACATTTGTTTTGACGCCTACTTCATACTGAACAAGGCCTCTTTCGCAAACATGTCTTAGAGTCCTCTACATATGGCCTCTTTGACAAACATGTCCTACACAGTTCGCAAGCAGTACAGTTCACATTTGTGCACCTATCCAGATTCATGCGATGGATCCAATCCACTTTGCTGGTCGGACCTCGGCAGTGCAGTGCCCCCATTCACCGTTGGAAGCTAACTCCAAAAGATGCCAAAGTACAAGATTACTGAGTCAACAGGTAACTCAAGAAGATGCCCAAGCACAAGATAACTCTTGGCCAATGAAGTCCTAAAAAAACGTGATGCAATCAGTACTTCAACGTCATGATATGAGTGAGCGAAGGAGGAGAAGGGAAAAAGAGACTTGAAACGTGGGACTGTAAGTACACATTTCTCACTTCTTCCTTGGGCTTCCCCTCATCGCCTCGTTGTCTACGGTGTTCAAGTAACGAGTAGAACAGTTCGGCATCGCATCGAGGTGCCACGTGGCACAGTCCAGACGAAGACAACGTCTGGACCGTGCCACGTGGCACCTCGATGTGATGCCGAACTGTTCTAATCGTTACTTTCAGGACAGCATCGAACAGATATGTATTTACATCCCGTGCAGTCAACCACAGATCCCGATCTTCCTCCACGTCGCGTCCAACTCAACAATGAAGACAGGTGGTGAATGCCACGCAAGTAAACAATGTGGTGTGCGTCACATCAACAAGTAGAGAGTGTCGCATCTGCCACATCAGCATGTAGACAGTGTAGCATGTGACACGTCTGCAAGTACACAGAACATCAAACGTCGCATCAGCGTGTAGACGGCGTGGCATGTGCCACGTTAGCAGAGGCTGGCACCGAGGAAAGGAGGCACCGGCATGCCTCCAGGGCTCTCGCGTCGTCGTCGCTATCTGCTTTCGAAGCTGTCTTGGTACCTGCACATCAACAAGTGCGTGTGTCTGACCGTCCGCCCCGGTTGGGTCCATTTTTGCGTTGACTGAAGGTTCTCAAGCAGTTCACTTCGGTCAAAATACTGCACGTCCAGGCCCTGGAAAACACCTTCCCCGTGAGGATGATTGTAGGACTTTGTTACAATTCGACGAAAACTCGTCCCGGGCTGAATCATCGATATAGGACTATAAATCGATTTTTCTTTATCTTTGAAAAGTGCCTACTGTTTGCCGTCAGAAGGACCTTTAAAAAATCTCTCCCAACAGCTCCCTCTCCGCTTCCGAGGCTGAACGCTCCTTTGAAACCTCGCCCAAATAAAACCTCGCTCTGAAAGATGCCAAACGAGCATAGTGGGCTGGCGGAGCAACTTAAACTAATCTTGTGCAGGCCGCATATGTGTAGCACAAATTATTTGTCGGAGTAGGGTGTGCACTCCACCATGTCTTCCACATACCCCGAAGAAATCCTTCTCCCTGTATATTCTACCTCCGTTGACATCATATTCCGGCATCAATCCTGAAATTTAGTCCACGGCAGTCAACATTAAAAACACAACTTTTTTTTTAAACTGCCACTCAATTCCGGCAAGGGGTGACCACCCGCTGTTTCCCAACAGCTTCCTCTCCGCTTCCGAGGCCGAACGCTCTTCTAAAACGTCACCCAAATAAAACCTCGCTCTGAAGGATGCCAAATGAGCATAATAGGCTGGCGGAGCAACTGAAACTGATCTTGTGCAGGCCGCATATGTGTAGCACAAATTATTTGTCGGAGTACGGTGTGCACTCCACCATGTATTCCACATACCCTTCTCTCTGTACATTCTACCTACGTTGACATCAAATTCCGGCATCAATCCTGAAAGTTAGTTCACGGCAGTCAGCAGTAAAAACACAACCTTTTTTTAAACTGCCACTCAATTCTGGTAAAGGGTAATCACCCGCTGTCTCCCAACAGCTCCCTCACCGCTTCCGAGGCCGAACACAACCTTTTTTTATACTGCCGCTTCTGAGGCCCTGCAAAACACAAGAATCTTCCGGCCATCGTAGGCCACTCGCCGTCCCCCAAAATCAAAAACCCGATGATGTTCCTGCAACTGTGCAATTATGATCCTATTCGTCCCTCTCGAAACGAACGGGGAAATGACCACATCATAATGATGTATTTCCCGCTTGGAGACAGTCAATGAAAAGTGGTTGGCTACGAGTACTCGTCGTTCGCCAACCTTGCCGTAATCAGGCTTCAGCACTCTGCTCACTCCGGCGGGGCCCTTCTCTGCCAATGTAATCGCCTCCAACCTTGCACTGAGCGCCCTCTGAACTGCCGCTTCGGTAGCCAAACGTGGGGGAGGAGTTGCATGTGGAAGAGGTCCACCATATGCACCCTCCTAGCCCGCTGTCTCCCAACAGCTCCCTCTCCGCTTCCGAGGCTGGACGCTCCTCTGAAAGGTCGCCCAAATAAAACGGCGCTCTGAAGGATGCCAAATAAGCATAATATGCTGGCGGAGCAACTGAAACTGATCTTGTGCATACCACATATGTGTAACACAAATTGTTTGTCAGACTGTTGTTTTTCCCTGCTTTCTCTCTTCCTCTTCCTCTAGGATCGACAACTCTCCCCCATCCGTTTCGCCACGAACTCCTCCAAACTACATCAGCCATGTTCAAAAAGCTTGCAACAATTTTGCACTCCACCATGTGCACAATGTTCCTCATCCGGGTCGAGCTGGATCCAAGTCGGCCGGTGTGATGCTCTGGTAAAACCCCTTGTAGACCATGACTCCGCCACCAAGGGGTTGACTGCCCGCCTCCTTGAAAAATGATCGGCCGACTGGTATGTTCCTCGTTGCAACCGCTTCGCTCATGACAACGTCAAGCATTTGGATGCACTCTTGTGCGAATTCATACTACGATTTATACAGATTTTCAAGTCGGTCGAGATTGAGCTGATTGACCAGCTTCATTCTGACCTTGAAAACCCTCTCCCTCGGCTGTTCTCGGTCAGTGTCCCGAAGCACCACCGTGAGGTAGCCAGAAGCGTCGCAAACCACTCCACTGCAACCAGTGGGCGCAACAGACACAAGTTATGGGATTAAGAAGAAAAAGTGAAGATCTTGGCCAAGCCATCGACGTCCTTGAAACACAAGGGGAATACTCAACAAAACCTGCAAATAAGACAGCATATTATGCTTATTTGGCGTCCTTCAGAGCGCCGTTTTATTTGGGCGACCTTTCACAGGAGCGTCCAGCCTCCAGATTTTTATTTCACTATCCTTTGATGCACTTAAGAGATATGCCAATTTGGGATGCAAAAAGGCGGACATGATCAATTCCTCGTGTCTCCGAAGTGTGGAGGCAAACACCTGCAGCGACCAGAAGTGAGTTTTTCGACGGTGTGGCAGAGAAAAAATCAATGTTGGTCATCCGCTTCGAGATTGCACGTGCCGCTTGCGCTGTTCATTCCCGATGTGTTTGTTGGCTACCACTTGCTGCTGGAGGACAGGAGATCACCACAATCTTCCATTTGTAACTGTTAATCATATACCCCATCCGTTCTTGTCCCCATCAATGTTCTGCACCTTTGAAAAAACATTCCAATGTTGGTCTGTTATTTGGCCTGAAAAGATGATTCGTGTTGAGTTCATGACATCAGGGTTTGTCTTTCTTTTTAGCCATTGCCGGATGTAGTGATGCCCTACCTCTACTTCCTTCACAAACTGTTGCGAGGGCTTCAATCGTGGACAAAATGTCGATCTAAACACTGTTGTTAACTAGGGGATCTGCCATCCTATATTTTTGCAGTCACACTGGCATTAAGGGAACGAGCCGGTCGACACAGGACATTGTACGGCATGCTGAAAACAACCTTGGCTCAGATGCTCTTTAGACTCTGACCAATAATTTGTGCTGCACGTATGCGGTTGCACAAGAACAGTTTCAGTTGCTCCGGACCCCGCGCATCATTTCGTAGATAAGGGTTCCAAAAAGACGACGGGAACAAAGTGTTTGTACAGAAGGGTTTCAAAAAGACGACGGGCGTTAAGCGTTTGTAGAGAAGGGTTTCAAAAAGACAACGGACACGAAGCGTTTAGAGAGAACCCTTCTCTACAAATGTTTGTCGTCCGTCGCCTTTTTTTAACTCTTCTCTACAAAGCAGTACCAGATTGATCTCCTGTACCAGAGGATCCAACTACTTGTTTCAAGTAAGGTTTATGCGTGTGAATTTGACCGACTGTT